GATCAAAGATAAAACCTTATCAGCACTAGTCTGGGCACTGATCGCTGTCTGACTGTTATCAAGTGCCTCTTCTCTCCACTGTTCTTTTTTCCTGCTAAAGTACGGATATTAGCAGGGAAAAAGTCAAGTCCACGGTCACAGGAACTATCCTCTGAGGAAAGGCAGAGCTTCAAAGGGCCGAGGGAAGCAGCTCCAAGAGCCTCAAGTAGTCTATTTTTCACTTATTTGTTTTTTTTTTTTAACCAACCACTCATTCTTTAATCTGGAAATGTCTCCAAAATGCCCTCAGAGCAGCACATTTATTGCCTGCTGCTGGCACACACCTGCCTCCCCATCCAGCTCAGCTTTCCATCGGCGCTCACAGAAACATTTTTGCTGGGCACAGTAAAGTCATTACTTAACAAAAGCACATATAGATTATGGATACTCTACATGAGCATTCCTGTAGTTTCCATTCTGCCAGGGGCCCAACGCAACCTTTGTAACTACAGCATTACAGGGCTTATAAACCAGGGCTGAGGGAGGTGATTCTTCCCCTCTCGTGATGCATCTGGAGCACTGGGTCCTGTTTTGGGCTCCTCAGATGGACATGGACATACAGGAATGAGTCCATGGAGACCACCAGCATGGCCAGAGACTGAAGCACAAAGCACGTGCCTCTCTCCCCCCAGAGGTGCCCAGTGTAAAGATGACACACAGATGGGAAATCCTGGGCGATATAAGGAAAAGTTTTCCGCAGTGAAGATGTGCATAGATTTAGCTCTCAATTCGTGCATGTTAAGGAAAGGCTCCGTGGCTATGATGTGCTTTCATTAAAAAGTGATTTCAGCATGAAAAGGCATCTAACATATGGTCTCCTTGCAGCCCTAGAGACCTGGTGCTCTCAGTTCCAGGCTGAGGGCAGTGCCAGTGCCCTGGCACAGAGGCGTGACACCATGGCAGGGAGCTGACGGATGGCACTGCTGGGAGGCAGCCAAGCAGAGGCAGAGGGCACTGTGGTTCAGCAAGGTAGAAACTAAACCACAAAGCCTGTGATTTAGAGGCCCTCACGCTATTTGTGGCATTTTGTTCCTCTGGAGAGCACATTCCTTCCCCTGCTGTGGAAGATTTGTCTTTGGCGATGGCAGCGCTCAGAGCAAGGGCCTCCCAGAGCAGTTCTGGCAGCTGTGCATGTTCTAAGCTGCATGTGAAAGGAAGATAAACCAGAGCAATCCTAGGACCTGCTACATCGTGGTAGGAAGCAGCCTTGACCCCCAGCCGATTCCTACTCCTTCTCTTCATCCAACCCCTACAAAACTCCACAAAACCAAAACCTCCACTCAACACAAAGTGAGACTGTCCAAGCAACAAATCCGAGCCCCCAGATACACCAGAATCTTTAGAGAGAAGACAATGAGATGCTGCAAAGTGGCCATAACAGGCTTTAAATACAAAAACCAAGAGGAAGTGTGAAAGTCTTGACAAAAAGAAAAAAAGTCACACTGTTTTAACATCAGTGTAAGGTCAGAACATACAAAACTGCTCGTAAAGAAGGCTTTAAAATGAGTTTCATAATTTACTGTGATTGAACAATCAAGACCTCACTCATCTTGCACCTAACTGCAAGCACATGTTGGGGCTCCTGCCTGAAGCAACAGGTTAATTCTCCACTTATTTCATAGGATTAGAACTACATTTTTTTCCCCCCAGGAAATGTGGTGTTATTGTGAAGCCCATCCAGACATGCTATTTCATAATTAATACTAAATAAGAAGTGAATTCTCTCCTTTGTCTAGCTTGCTTTGGCTCAGCGAGGAGCAGCAATTAGCAAGTTGGCCTCCCAGAACACATTTGATCTGCTACAGAGTTTCCTGCTGCTGATCAGAAGAACAAACCTGATTTCACACAATCCATGGGGTTTATGTTGGCTGGATGTGCTATAATTAAAATGATCTTTTCTTTTTTTTAACTCCCCCAAGGGCTTTGTTTATCTGCTTGGAGTTTTTCATGGAGAGGCAGGCACGGCCCTAATTTAGCAGTTTGGTTGATTTACACTCCTGCTCTTTACCAGCTCCCTTTGTAGCGTTCACTGTTTGTAGTTTGGTGCAGAAATGGGGGCCTGTTATCATTTGTGCTATAGGGCTGTTTTAATAGCAGGAGCAGAAGAACAGTTCCCATGGAAACATTTCCAGGTTTCATCGTGTGCTTTTCCTGGGATTCCCAGGGTTGAGCAGGGTGGGCTCTGGGCCTCTCTAATGGGCACACACAGCAGTGTGTGGACACTTCCCCTTCAGCAGGGGAGGGAAATACCATATTTCTAGATTATTTCCTCTCTTTCAAAGTCTAATGCCTGTAAAAACAGAGCAGCTCAACAGCCTCATGCCCCTGACTGATGTCCTGGCCAGTCCCCACCACTCTGACAACAAACCAGGTCCTGTTTTGAAAGGCCACCTCCAAACCCAAGAGAACGTTTTCCTTTCTCTCCGACCTCTACGATTAAGCCTGGAGTGATGCCATGGTTGAACAGGGCTCAACACACTCACCTGAGCCAAGGTGCCCTGGTGTCACCAGGGACTTCCAAAGCCTCTCAAAAAACACACACCATCCTGCTCTACAGCTGAGGTGTTCAGGCCTGGGGAACACCACTGCTCGTGGGCCACCCCTGTACCCTGGCACTTGGCAAGAGCAAAGATAAACCAACAAATAAAGTCACCAGTGAAAAGGTTCAGCCATCTTCTCTCTCACTCCTCAACGACTGCCACTCACAGGTGAGCTCAGGGCAAAGGGGCTCTTCCACCTCCGTGCTGAACCAGATCCACCTGCAGCCCCACTCCCTCTCCTTGTCCTGTTTCTTTCCAGAGTATGGCTATGGGCTCACAATATTTTTTTTCCTTTGCTTTTTCTTCATCTGCAGACTTATTAATTATTTTCAAAATTTACTTCAACCTATTCTCAGTAGTGAGGGAAAAAAAAAAAACAAACCCAAAGAAACCTCAAACTCGAGGGCCACAGCCACTGCTTTGAAGAGATCATTATAACAAGTTCTTATTCCAGGGGAGAGTAATTATCATGTTCTAACAAACATATTAAATAATTCACTATTATTACTTTGGCACTTCTTCGTGAACCAGGTGTTTAAGAAGCTGTTTCAGACAGAAGCACACGATGCAGTCCCTGGGGTCCCTCCCCACCAGCCACAGCATGAGGAGAACACTAATGCTTGGGCAAGGCTGGAGCTCCCCAGAGCCAGCAAAGCCCTCACATCAACAGCACAACATGCTATGCTTTTACTTTTTTTCCATCATTCTCATCAATATTTCTCAATTTTCTAATTATAAGCATAGAAGTGTCTGAGCTCTCTCAGTTCAAGTCAGATTTATGTCTCTTGTCCATAAATCTCTGGTTATCTCTTAAGCTTCTAAAACATAGTCATATTTTTATTCAAGCAAGACTATTTTAAAAGCTGATTTTCATTCACATCACCATTGTTGCACTGCCTGTTTGCTGGTTGATTAATGAATGCAGAACCTCTCTTTACTCAATCCAGGCAGAGCTGCCACTGAGTCAGCTGTTCTTACCTGCAGGATTTTGGATGAGCAGAGCTGCAGTGGGTGCTGCCTTGGGGTGAGGTCCCTGTGCACATGGTTCACCTGAGCCTGGAAAACACAAGTGTGGAGATATAAGGAGGGTTTGGCATTATACACCCAGTAGCTGCATTTCTTGGGACACTCTGTAGGAACTCAAAAAAAAAAAAAAAAAAAAAAAAGGAAAGAGTCATGGCATCAAGACTTTTTTCCACCCAAAAGTGAGGGGAAAAAATGGCTGAGCCACTTCTGCATCAAACAGGTGAGATCAGTAGAAAGAATTCACACCACCCTGGGACTTATTTCAAAGACATTTAAAGCCTTAAACAAACCAGTGCCCTGGCAAGGGTGGTATTTGTTGGGGAGGCAGCACAGAGACCCCGAGGGGCATTTGGTGTTGGAGAGGTTGGGGCAGCACAAAGGAGAGCAGGGCTGGGTGCTCAAAACATTAGAAAGGGCACACTGGCTTCATGCCACATTCAGAAACATGTCCATCAACTGCAGCCTTTGGGGAGCAGGCTCCACTGAGACCAGTCACTTGCTGAAAACAAAGTGCCATTCTTTACCTTCTACCCCTTCAGCAAAGCAGCTTCTCTGCAGTGCAGAACGTAAAATCCACTCCCCACATCCACTACACCAGTGCTATTTAAAATTCACTCCATAGTGAGTTTTACAGCTCATTCAGGCTCAGCTCAGAGCTTGGGAATGGCCCTGGAACACGTGCACATTTTCAGCTGAAGCAGAATTATGCTAAAACAACTGCACAAGGAGCCCACGAGGTCTGGTGCAATCACATTTCTCTGAAAAAGGCTTAACCATGTGTGCAGGGAGCAAGGCAGATGGGATGAAGGTCTCTAACTGCTACAGAGATTTTTATTCATTAGCTCAGAGACATTCCAGCAGGTTCCAGGGCCCCTCGGAGCACTGACCCCCTTCTCCACACACTGCCTGCCTTCTGCTTGTAGTAGGCTGCATTTTTAGGGGCCACCACAGGATTTATCAGCTTCAAGATACTGATTGTACTAAAGATCTTTTTCTTTTCTTTTTGTTAGAAAATTTCTGCTCTGCAGAAAACTTTTGACCCACACAGCCCATGGAGGGAGGAGGGAGCAGAGATGTAGTGGGGACAGTGGGACACAACCAGCCTCCCCTTGTCCCACCAACACACCAGCACCTCTTACCTGAACAAAAGGACTCCAGGAGCTCCATGTTGCTCTGTCCTCACCTCGAAGCTGCTCTGGGAGGAAGGAGGAGCCAGCACAGGTGTCCTGGGTCTGCAACTCCATCACAACTTACCAACATCCACCTGGGCTTAACAGCCTGCACCTGGTCACTGCCCCACGGCACAGCCCACAGCAGCTCCTCGTTAGCATAAAACAAAGAACCAAGTTCATAGCTCTGGGATTTTTTTTGGTTTGTTTTTTTTTTTCTTTTTTTAGACACCTGGCAAGAAAAGGAAGAAAAATGCACGACGTGCAGCTAATTTCTCAAGCAGGCAGGAAACATTTCCAACAGCTCCTTCAAGGCAAACTGCCCCTCGCAGCTTTGGTCAGGAAAGGAGAGCAAACAAGGGTGGGATTCTATAATTTATTACCATTGCTAAGATGAACACAGATACTTGATACCCCATCGTATGCAGAACTGTAAAAAAATAGTTTTAATACAGTATCAAAATTTACACAAGTGAAGTGTCAAAAGACCGGTGTCCCTCGAGGAGCCCCTGCAGGCACAAGTACAGGTGTCACAGCTGTTCATACACACAGAGATAGGAATACAACAATTGCAACCCAACTGTGCAGTGGGAGAAAACAACGTGGGAAGATAACACACAGCTGCCTGGGCTGGGTTCTATGTCAGAAATCACGCAGGAGTGCCATGTTTCAAACAGAAGGCTGGATTCTGCATTCCCAACTCAAGGAGAAGGAGTGAAAGGCAGCTTTGCCCAAGAAAGCAACGCTGGATCAGAGGCCTTACATCCAATGGTACCAAGGGGAAATAACAACAAAACCCAACAGAATTACTGCTGCAAATTAACACAGTTTGGCTGGAGACAGGTAGCAGATTTACATCAGCTATATGACAGAAGATTGTACAGCCACCAAGCTACATTCCACAGCAAACAGCCCACGGGTACAGGATGTCCAAGCCCAGAGAAACCAGAGCTTCTCGCTTCGGCTCAAATCTTCGCAACCAAGAACAAACCAGAAACCCAGGAATTGTTGCATTCCTATTTTTTTTTCCTTTTATTATTATTATTATTTTTTATTAGTCTCTTTTTGACGCTCAGCTATGGTAAAAAGTTAAGCAACAGCCATTCAGTCACAAGCCTGTTGCACATTCATACATGAAACTATCATTGCTCTTAGATATACACAAAATACCTATGTTGTAGTTCAATACACACGACTAGTGTCATACACAGAGATAAAAATAAACTAAGCACATCTAGGGCGCCGTCTGGTCACATCTCAGGCAATCTGAACAAGAGCTTTCTGCCTCCTAATAATGAAAGACATGCTCTGAGGATAATAAAACCCTTTTTCTTTGAAAGAACTCTACGGTGGCAAGGAAAGCTTTTTTTTTTTTAATAATGCAGTGCAATCTTTTAGATCCTTATAGGCTCTTGTTAAATAAACCAGCATGTCTCTAAACTAAACAGTTAGAAATTAGCATCCTGACAACTGGAAAATACTTCCCAAAAGAAATTCTGATGGAGATTCTGATCTGAGACCTGTGATAGTGATGCCTAAGTATTCTGTTCACTTAAAGGGCTGCCAACACCCTACACTTCTTCAGAAGATGTGCATCAAGAGAAAGCTACCTTGACTTTCCTTTAGAAAGAAATTGTGGATCACTACAAGGACTGTAGTTATGCTACACTACTGGCTGGTTAGGACTTTATGGTCTTTTAGCACCTCCAAAGGCAGGTTATTCTACCAAAGCAAAGAAATCACCTGGGAATTGCCTAAGCACCATTAACGGGTCCTTTACAGACTGAAGGGGGAGTTACTAAGAAGCGACTTTCTCAGAACTGCGGAGACCAAAGGCACAGTTTATCCACGTCCCTCCAGTTTGGTGGAAAAACCCCTCTCAAATCCAGCGGGAAACTCCTTCAGGCCTATTAGAGACTCGCTGTAACTAACCAAAATAAAACTCATTTCGCGCAGCTCCTGCAGAATCCCAAGTATCTGTGGAGTTGGGATGGAGATACCTCAGTGCTCCTAAGGGTGGTGTGTTGCAGTGAGGGTGCAGCGTGTCACTAGGCAGGCGATTGGAGCAGCAGGAGGGGACGCTGTGGGCACGGGCAGCCCCCCGGGCAGCAGCTCTGGTGTCCAGCCGAGGCTCGTGCAGCGCATCCAGACACCCCGTCGTCAGTGGGGATGGGGGGACAGCCAGTTCCTTCCCTCTCGTGGGCACGTCAAACTCTCGCTCTTCGGAGAGGCCATTACATGGGTCCTTTATACTGATTTCCTGACAAGTGCTGCCTAATTCCAGGGCACGACCCTGCAGCATCTCCAAGTTTCCTCCACACAACCTAAAGGGAGGGATGGAAAGAGATGGTTATCCCCGGCCGGGGTGCGCCGGCGCTCACACGGACATGCAGCCGGAATGCCACAGCTCTGGGACATGCAGCACGGGGGAGGGACACACGACAGGAGCACAGGATGGTCCTCGGGGGGTACAACATTCCTTCTGAACACAGAAAGCACATGCTGCTGGGTAGAAATGATTAAAAACGGACACAGATGGGCCAGCACGTGCTTCAGACACAAGACTGAGGGTGTTTGAAGGTCTCACTGAAACTCAGCTATTTCCCCAACCACATCTCCTGCACAAAGATCAGTCCAGAGGTGTCTAAACATTTCCAGTTTAACAAGCACAGAGCAGTTCTCTTTTTCAAGGGATTTACTCGTTCTCTTACAACCAAGCAAGGCACCAGAAGTGTTTATTTCCCTAGTTCTTCCTTGAGGTCTGAGGAATTGTGCACGTAGTCACTGTGCTATACTGTGCTTAACATCATCTGTTACAACACTGGAATTAAAAAGGCAGAGAAGTGACACCTCCAAAAACGTAAGGAAGTATTTTATAATGATTTACAGGAAGACTGATGCACTGAGCAGTAGCTGTTGGTGTGTCACCAGGCCTCTCTAGAGACAAGAATGGTGATTCCACCATTCCAACTGTCTATTGCAATTTCAGAGTATTTCTGGTTAATAATAATCAACTCCCAACCAGCTAAAGTGTAACTGCTACTAAACCACCCATCAGCCTCTGGGCCAACAGCAAGATGATTGTCAGGAAAGGTAAAACTGGTTTCCATTGTCATTATTTATTGTTTTACCAGTGCCTAAAGTCCAGCAGTGAACAGACACTGGAACTGAATAAACCCAAAGCAGCTGGATCCTGGGAAGCTGACATCCTGAAAAGGTGGTTCCTGAAAAGGTGGTTCCTCCAGTTGATGAGCAAAGGCAGAACAACCTCAAGGTCCTGCCGTGATTCTGTGCAACTGGTGGGAAAACAACCCAGTTCCTGTGAGCCTTTGCTGCAGAAAACCAGAAATACTCCCAGACTGGAAGGAACAGGGCTACAGTCCTACTGTACAGGGTCCTTTAAAGGGAACTGTCTTTAATTCCAATGGATGGGCATAACCCAAAGCCTGTAAGCTTTCCACAGAGCAGGATCCTGCAGCCTGGAATCCCAACTCACATCCCCAAAATCCACATGTGTGTTTTGGGTGTATTTGCTGTGTGTGAGACACTGCAGAGGGCAAAGCACGGGAAGTGGGTGCTCAGTGACTCCTCCCACACTGGGTGTCTGGGCACAGCCAGGGCTGGATCTGGCAATTCTGTCCAAAGGCTGGTACCAAAACACAAGAGCTCCTGTGGGAAGGCACACTGCACCTACACGTGCCCTTCAACAACTTCCCTGGGCAATAAAGATTGAGACAATATTTACCAAGCAGCTAATGCTGACCCAGGAATAAACTGGAAGGTGACACTTCCTTTCTTTCCAGCTGAACAAGTGACCCCTGAGTGGCAGCAAGGGACAGTCACGTGCAAGGGCCCCAGAGAGGTGACGAGTGACAAGGGGGGGGGCAAAATTTCACTCAGAATTCCAGCAGGAATTTCAGCCCTCCTGCCCAGCTACACCCCCAATCCCAACTGGAATATCCCACCCCCTCTTCGGCTCCCAGCCCCAGTGAGGGTGCTGTAGCCCTGCAAAGTGAACCTACCAGTAGCCTGAGGAAAATCATGAAGAACATCCCCTCCAGACTTAATCCAGACATTCCTAATTATGAAGAACACCCCTCCAGACTTAATGGAGACATTCCTGTGCTGTGGAATTACCTCCATGCTCACTAATACACGACAAACTACCTCTAAACTTGCTGCCACGTGTTGCTACATCCTCCTAAGACAAGGCAAGTATATAAATACAAAGCAAGAATGTTCCCAAATAACATCATTCCCAAATACAATACCAAATGCACATGCATGTCCTGAGGAGAGAATTCCTGCCTCTGTTATCTCAATAAAAACACCAACGTGGTCACAGAACACCACAAAGTTCCTACAAGGTGAGTTACACATCCACCGTGGCAGTTTGCACTATGTCATTATTTGGGCACCAAATTGCATCTTGGCACCAATCCAAACCGTGCACCAAAATTAGGGAGCCCAAAACTGTCGTCATTCCCCTGTTTTCACAGGGAAAATGATGCCATGGCAAATGTTTCCCGTGAAACACCCACAGTGCACGAGGCTGCAGACAAACAGTGAGCTACAGCCTGGCAGGAACTGCAGTGAGAATGCAAAAGAAAAGATTATAATAAGCATTGTAATCAGTTTATCCCAAATCCACTGCGCTTTTAACCTGGACTAGACGGGTAAAAGGGAAAGCGAAACCAGAAAGGAAATACCCAACTGCTTTAAAAGTATAATAATGTCCCAACAGTGAAATCAGACAGAGATTGTAAAAGTCAGAGGGACAGGGAGCATTTCAGTGGCAGCAGCAGAGCTTTGAATGGCTGGGAACAAAGGGACGAGGCAGGACACGGGTTCGTCTTTGAGAGTTACAAAAATGAAGTGATAATGTCAAATTTAGCATTTAGAAGTGGCATTACTTACACCACAAGGATTTCTACAGATTACCATGAAATATGTATGAGTTAGAAACTGCTTTTTTAGCCATAAATCGCAAAGGAATATCCGAGGCAGGAAAAGTCATCAGGGCCATTGCTCAGCTGGGGAAACTGAGGCTGCCAGGCTTCATCACTTGCCAGATTTTATTCTTAGGAAGGATAAATTCAGGTCATACAGTACTTTACCCCCGATATATTATCCCACATAGATTTTCCTGATCAATACTAACCAACATGTTAACGTTATAGTGCTCCTAATAAAACACTAATTGCATTACAGAAACAGTAATTGCCTTAATTTCCCTACAAAATCTTCAAGGGCATCTTGTCGGCACTTGAACAAAAAATACTTTGCATCTTCAGGTGTTTCCAGGCTCAAGATGGAATATAAACACCTTAAACTCTTACTGCACATTTCTCCAGCCTCAGCTTTCTCTGTCTCACTAAGGTGGTGGTAAGAGAGCCTTTAACAGCCTGGTGATTGATGTTTTCTTGAGCTTCCAAGCCATGGGGATGCTTAAAAGGAAGGGAATTTCATTTACACATTTTTTGGCAGCCACAAATAAGACCAGTAGTGTGAGTACAGTACATAAGTAGTCAGACTTACAGACCTACAGACCAGGTAACAATCACTGTTCCACACACACAAACCCTGGTCTGGAACAGCACAAGCAGGAAATTTGGCCAGATACAACTTCCAAAAGGAATCAAACACATCCTGCCGTGTGAAATAACCACTTACAGGTCCCCAGGGATGCCACCTGCACTCCAGGAATAATCCCACAGCCACTGGCAGGGCGGGGAGGATTGCCAAGGACCCGGCAAGTTCTCCTTCCAGCCATCCTGCCTGAGGGAGCAGGTCCTGGGAGAGCCTTATCAGACCCACTGCATGGCAAAGCTCTGCTCCTGTTCCCACTTTCTCCACCAGTGGGAGATTCCCAGCCAATTTTTTTAAATTTCATAATTTTTTTTAAAGTCTCCTCATCACTTAGGAAAACAACAGCAGCATTTTTAGCAATTCCCTCCCTCTGTTCCCTAATGGATCTGCCCCTTTCAAACACTCCTGCTCTCAAGATTTCCTGCTGGGAGGAGTGGGTTGCACCAACAAGGAGGTTGTCCCTTTGCCAGGGGGTATTTTAAGAGAACTACAAAAGGCTTTTTTCCATAATTACCCACAATCTCTTGACAAAATTACCTGGCATAGCTTTATTTTCCAGGCAGCAGCAGGTGGGATGTATGGAAGATGCACAGAGGGCTCGGAGCACTGCTGAGCCAGGCACTCCTGGAGCTGGGAATGTCGCAGGAGGGCAAGAGCAGAGCTCTCATGGCCAGTGCTCCTGACAGGGACATGGCTGGGGAGGCCACCCCAGAGGGGACCTGCCACTGTGGGAAGAGGGGCTGGAGCTCTCCGGGATGCCTCTCCCCTTTGGATGCCAGGAACACAGGCTGTGCTGAAGTGCTGTGTCCGGGTTTGTGTCACAGGAAGGATCTGGTGGCTGGGATTTCTGCACACTTCACTTGAACAAACCCATTTCTTCAAGCTTCACGGAGGAGAAGGGAATGTCACAGAAGCTTGGGGGTCCAGGCAAATCCACAGCACTACTCAGCTCTTACTATGCATCTCCACAAAGCTCAAAACCACAGCAAATATCTACACAAGTCCCTTCCAATCCTCCCCTGGAGGAGGGCGAACCTGCTCCCTCCAAGTGCCCCTGCAACACCTGTACATGTGGGGAGGAACACCTGCTTATCCAGCTGGATACTGAGGCAGTTCAGCTGATGAGTGAAGCACAGGAGAGAAGAGGGGCTCAAAGCACCAAATCCACCACGTCTGAGCCACAACAGGAGAGAGGAATATGCAGTCCCTGCTCAGCTCTCCCTCAGTTTTTAGCCCCTCCAGAGGAACACGGACACCCTTGATGCCCATGCAGTGAGCTCAGCCACCTGCTGTCTCCCATCGCCCTATAACCCTTCAATCTTGTAACACCTTCTAAGTTTCTTTAATTGCAACAGTTTTGCTGCTGACAGAAGGGAGAACTTGCAACTCTACCCCTCCGATTCCTTGTGTCACTGGCTGTGTATCAATGTCACACAGGCCTCTGCAGTCCAGCCCTGACTCCAGGGTATGGCACATCTGCTCCCAAAGCAGCGTCAGCACTGACCTTGGGACCGTGGTCTTCAGCCCAAGGCCCTGCTATTTTTACCATGAACATACCGTGTGCCTCAGCTTTATCTTTGCATTAGAGTATTTCCCTCTGCAGGTATCCACTGTGTCCCACCTGAGCACAAACCTGGATCCTCCAGGAAGCAGAAACACCTCCTTATTCAGCAACACACCGCGTTCAGCTCCAAACGAACGCTACGGGCGTGAGTAACGCGGTGAGCAGCATCACCCCCACGAGGGCCAGACCCCTGCCCAGGACACACACAGGCCACAGATACGATGGGTGACAGACAGAAACAAGCCCACTGATGACAGGAACATCCCGGTGGTCCCACGGGGATGTCGGCAGGACGACAGGACAGGAGCTGAGGGACAGACAGGACGCGCGGCAGGGCCGGCAGCGGAGCAGCGTTACCTTCAGAGCATTTACCACTGAGTCAGGCTGCGCAGAGGCCGGGCCGTGTCCCCCCACGCTGGCTGGCTGGGCAGGGCAGGGCTGCCCCTCCGCCCCGCCGGGCATCCTACCGGGCTCCTTGGCAAGAGAGCAAACACTCTTTAATACACAGCACGCTCGTCGCTGAGTCAGACACGCCACTTATTCGCTGCTCTCTTTTCAAGGGCTGAGCAGCACTGACGGCGTGTGGTGCTCCCGAGTCCCCCTCTGTCTGTGCCACGGGAACCGAGATCCACGTGAGCGTCACTCTGGCCCTCCGGGGTGTCCCCCTGGAAGGTCAGCACGTGGCAACAAAATTTCTCGTCTCAAAATCAAAATCTCTCACAAAAAGCGCTGCAAAGTTTAGAGAAATGATTTCAACCCCAGAGGAAGGTTTGGGGGATGTCTAATTTTATCTCAATAATTCTGGCGGTTGTTCCTTCAGCAAAACTCTCATTTTTGAACATTGCTGCAAGGTTTGCAAGCCCAGCTCAGCCACAGCTGGCCAGGGAAGGAAACAGCTCCGGGCTGACAACTCACTCCTTCCCAGGGTGCCAGGGCACGGCCCCCTTTGCCTTTGCCCAGGGGAGAGGAAGTTTAGCACCTCACACTGACTGCAGAACATTAAGGCTGCTCAGACCATTTCCCCACAGCACCAGATGCCAATTTGTCCCCAGCGGTGACAACCTCAGTGACAACCTGGAAGGGTTTCTCAGGACACTGCCAGACAAATGTGAGCTACCTGAACTGTTCCAGCTCAGTCTCCTCAAGCTTTGCAGGGTGTGAAGCATCTCCTGGAGCAACTGCAGTGCTGAGGTAACCTGAGAAAGCTTCAGAGAGCGCTAAAAATACCCCTGCTGCACTCGTGGGCAGCCATGGGATCCCTGTGGATGCTCCCCAGGTGCTACCAGCCTGCCCTGCTCCTCACCCTCAGCCTTCAGGCAGAATTTTGCTTAAAAACAAATGAGAAATATAAAGAAGTAAAACACCTCAAAGACTGAGAGATGGGAAGTTCCTTTCTTAGAGAGCAAGAAACACCGTAGGAGACATTAAGAAGTAACACAGCGGTAATCCCTGCTGGGATGAGTGGGAAATGCATTTCTGAAGGAGAAATAACGACAGTGGAACAGCCTCTGCTCAGAGCCAGTGCCCTGATGTGCACTCCTTTGTCCCACTGAGCAAGCACACAGAACATTGCAGTGTTTTTGGGGGTGTCTCTAATCTAAACAATAGGAGAGATGAAGGTGGGTGTGGGAGAGAAAGGGCACAGGGCGACAACACGAGGCTGAGCTTCACAGATCCAGGCTGCCTGCAAAGGAACAGGGAATAACACAGCCCAAAGCAAGCTTCCAGTGCTGTGGGGATATGCCCAGGCCTTTGCAAGGCTCCCAGCAGTGCCAAAGGGCAGAGAGAACCCTCCCAGTCACCCAGCACATCCACTCGACCCCCACAGCCCCCCGCAGGACTGAGCCTCGTACGTTCAAACCAACTCCCCCAAACCAACCAGTCAATCAATAACAAATAAACAGAATGCTGCATATGCCAAACCCACAGAAAAGGGACTTCATGCCTGAATCTGAAAGCTCATTTCACACACAGACCGGTCGTCCAGCACCGGCCTCCTGCCAAGCAATGGATCCATGGAATCCACACTAGTGGGCACTAATGGATCTCACTGCATTATCCTGCAACTCTCCCCAGCAGTGCCTATGATCAATTTGTTGTGATGTATGGAAGGGGGTTCAGGACTTATTTGGCTTGGGGAAGGATTTATAGATCTGTTAGAGACTGGCCAGACTTAATGCTGTACTTTGGGAAAGGAAATGAAGGAGGAAGAAGGGGCAATAAAGCAGATTGGAGCAGTGCTGGGTTAGGATAGATTCACTCAGTCAGCTTTGGGGGTTTATAAGTCAGAGTATTCTGTTTCTTTACTAACTGCAGCACCAGCAAAGGTTTTGGTCAGTTTGGAACAGTAAAACAGAAATATTGCCGTTAAGAGGCTGGGAAAATGAGCACAGAGTGTACATGTAAAGCCTCCTGAACACAAGGAACTCCAAACCTCCTGTGAATGGCGCTGCTCCCGGAGTTCAAGCCCTGCTCCAGGCACTGTGTGTCCTCCACAGCTCCTCTGTGCCATATGCAGCACATTTCTGCCTCCCTTCATGAGAATGAAACACTTGTGAACACACTGCTTCAAGCAGCCAGTGTTCCCAGCACATGTTGGGAGGAGACTGAAAATTAGTATTTCCCCCGTGGACATCCTTCTCCTTCTGTCCTTGATAAGGGACATGAGCTTTTCTTTAAAAATAAGGCAGATTTTGCAGCCCTGAAGGCCCATCTCAGGCTCAGGGGCTTCTCATCTCAGGTGAGGCTGCTCCACTGAGGCAGCACAGCTTCTGCTTCTTTGGGGGAAGATTATTGCAGCAGATGATGGGGATGGAACCAGCCTGGAGGTGGGTCCTGTGGGGCTGGAGACAGCCCAGCACTCCTGATGAGCTCCTGAGGCAGGGAAGCCAAACAGGAGGCAAAGGCACTTTGCCAAAGGGGCCTTGGGGGATGAGAGATGCTGCTCCCTCCCTCCTCTTCCCTGGCTCCACACACAGCCCCTGCACTCAGCCACTGGAGGGAGGTGTCCCCTGTGACAGAGCTTTTCCTTTAATATCCAGGAACAAAGCTGTGGAAGTGGAACCAAACCAGACAGGGCTCCACACTGCTGGAATCTGTGTGAGCTGTAACCATCCTGAGGAACTGGGAACAAACAGCACTGTACAGCACCTGCACCTGAGAAATAACTGACCATTTTGCTCCTCCTCTGCAGCCACCCTTCCCTGCTGCCCTGCCCAGCCCTGGTGCCCGGGATCCAGCACAGTTTGGTGTTGTCTGATGTGTCCTCTGTGCAGATCACACCTCTGCAGGGAGCAGGTAAAACCCACAGCATACCCTGGGCATGGCTTCCCAGTGGGATAAGAGTGACATCACTGGCTGTGCACATCATTTTCTGTCAGGAGTAAATCTACACCAAATCTAACGCCAGTACAGACTCCAGGGAATGGAAAGCACAGGACACCTGACTCAACCCTGTAATCTCACCTCCCAAAAAAGCCCAGAGGAATGGGAATTCACCATCTTGCTCACACTGAGTGCAAAATGTTGAGGCTGCTCAGGCTGTTTTGCCCCAGTGCCAGAGGCAAACCCTGCACTGTGTCCTGGGCACGGGCAGAATAAAGACTCCTGTGTGGAACAGGGAAAGAATTAACCAGGAGCTTTGCTGCTTAAGCCAGTAGAAAACTTCATTTTTTCCATCTGCATTGTTGGTAAGGACAGTCCTGAATGAAAACCACTGTAGTGCCAACCCAAGCCAGGGGGACTGTGTCTTCCAGCCCCTCCGGAGGAAATGGGGGAGAGCCAAGGAGGGGAAAACACAGCCCATGCCTGCCCTGAGGAGACTCAGTCACCCCACCAAAGCTTCCAAGAGAACAGGGTTTTCCTCTGTTCACTCACCCTCAGCAAACACACAGGACCTCGTTCTCCAGCAGCCTCTTATCCCACAGGCAAGTAGTTTCCTGGGAAGTACATCCTTCCTGCTGGGTAACTGCCACGCCAGCTCAATCACTAACTGATTTTCAAAGCGTTTTTCTGATTTCCTCAGCCCTCAATTTCCCTGTAAAGCTCCAAGCAAACACAGGCTGTGTTTGTCAGCTTGTTTCCAACAGGCAGGAGAGAGGAAAGGCAGAAAGCAGTAACTGCTCTGCTGGATTAATAATGCACTTAAAGAACAGCAACAATTCTCTAAGGAAATGCTCCTGTCAATTAAAATACACAATTTTCAAATGCTGCAGTTTTTCACCTGTTCTCAAAGAGCTCAGGAGAAACCTCTCTAGGACATTGCTGCCAAAATCCACACGTCCTCAGAGTGGGTTTGAGGCACACTCAGATTCCTGAGTGGCCAAAGCCATTGGTGGTTGCACACCCTCAGACACAGCCAGTGCCAGCAGGGAATTCCCTCCAGAAACCTCCTCTGACAACGAACATGTCAGAGAAAAAGGTCCTGGGCTGTGACAGGATTTGTGGAGGCCACCAGCATTTCAAATCTGCAAGATCTGGTGGAGTCTGCTAGAAAATCAGGAGTGCAAAGCAACTCCAGACTTTTGGAATAAAAAATATCTGTACTCCCTGCACTGCAACTCTTTGTACATCAGGTTTTGCTTGAATTTGTGTCTTGGTGACATCAAGCCCATGAGCTTTTGCCAACCACAAGGGACACTCTGGAACAAAGACTGGTGAGAACCTCGGCTGCTGGGAACTGAAGTCCTCTGTTCATGACCTTTTAATTCAAACTGAGGCTGAGAGCACATGAAAGAACTGGGTGGGTGGATGCTCTTGCTTTACTCTCTTTCAGCAAATATTTGATGACATGATTAGGAAACATGAGTTTGTTCAATGTGTTTTAATTACATTTTGGTTGGAGGATTCTCTATTCTGTGGAAGGGAGGAGACAAGCAGTGTTGGACTGTGAGTGACACAGATTTTACAAAAAAAAAGCCCCACTAACCAAACAGTTCCCATCTTCTAATTAGATTTATAATTAAAACCACGTCATGCAGAAGGAAAATAAAAAACACAGATCTCAGCAAAAGGTTTTTGAAAGATTTGGGAGCGGGTTGAAATAAAATGTGATAATGAAGGGGGAAGAAAGAAAGAAATGGAAAGTGTTGGAACAGCTTAAAAATAAAGCAGTGTGTGCCTAAGTGTTACACCTGCCATTTCCCAGGTAAACATTCCAGGCCTGGAAATGGAGAGCAAGGATGCAAAACCCCAAAAAAGTGCCTGAAGCAACAGTGCAAATGAAAGAGGGACGACAAAAACAGAAGGAAAAGGACCAAAAGACGTGGAAAGGAAAGAATAGGAAACAAAGGTGGCAGAGAGGGAGCAAAGGGCTCTGGTTCAGCCTCGTGGCTTTGGTCCTGGGCTGTGGGAGAAGGAGCTCAGCTCCCTGATTCCAGCCTCCAGTGGCAGCTTGTCTGCAGCACCCTGGCAGTGCTTCCCTTCCCATCACTGAGGGGGAAAGCTGAGTTACAGGGACAAAGAGTTGGAAGGGGGAATGTCTGTCAGTTCTCCATCCCTGCCTCCTGCTCCCTCCTCCCCTGAAACAAATATGAAATGAAGCAATTTGAATTGGGTGACTTGCCAAGTTCCTCTTTGCAAATGCATTCACTGTCATCGTATGACAGATGTCCACATTTCCACAGCCCTGAAACACTACTCCTACAAAAATTCCAGGTTATCTCCAGCTAACTGAGGTGTGGCTGCCAGTCCCTGAGCTGGCTTCCCCGGCCCCAGGCAGGGACAACAGTCACACCCCCAGCAGGTCTGGGGGGACAGCCCTGTGCTCACCAGCTGAGGTCATTCCCTGACACAGCAGGTCTGTCACAGCCCAGGGAGTGTCAATGGGATCTAAACCCATGGTTGGGTCCCTGCCTGTTTGCTGAGTTATTGCTGAGTGTGCTTGTCACAGCACACACGGGCTCTGGGCTCTGCTGTGCAGGGCTGCTGGGACAAGGTGCAGTAACAGAGAGGCTTTAAGGGTCAGCCAAGACCCACACCCCATCCCTGGCTGGAGCATTGCTCACACTACATATTTGTTGAATGTTAGCTGCAAAACCCAATCCACAACAACAAAAGAGCAGCTCTCAGGAACACGGCAAACCCACACCCCGTCTACGGCTCCTCCTTAAAGCCACCCCTCTGCTCTGAGCCACAGCTGTGCAGCACAGGGAGACATTAACAGGCTCCAGTGGATATTCCCATTTTTATGCCTTTCCTAGTACCTGATCAAACTAAAATATTGACTCAGTGGTGGTTCTGCAATTCCCCTGACGAAGCAGCCCTTGGGTACAGCAGAGTGAGCTACAACTCAGGTTCCACTGGAACAGGGAGGGCAGCATGTGAAACCATTTTCTCTGGAAATGTTCTTGCCACTAAATATTAATAAAACCTTTACATTAGAGGTCTGTAGGGTTTTGGAAAGAAAAAAAACAAATTAATACATATGGAGAGAGACAAGCACAGCAAAAGAAATTGGGAAAGAACCACCCCTAAGTGACAGAGCAAGAGAGAGATTTGCCTGACAAGGTGTCAGCAAATGTGTCAGTGCGTTTTCATGAGAGACAGAAAGCAGAAGAGGAGGAAAAGAAAGGATATTGAAAGCAGAGAGGGAAAAGAAGGGAAGTGTGGCAGGAGGAGAGGAAAAAGCCTGGGCCAAGGCCAGGGCTCTTCAGAGCAGACTGAGCAGAGGTGTCACAGGAGTGAGTTGTCACCTCTCTCCTACCAAGGGCAACCCTGCAATTCCCAACCCCTCCCAGTGCTCCAGGCTCCTGCCAAAGAGGGGCTGTGCAAAAGGCAAAAGGCCTCTCTCAGTGAGGCCCTGCTGACATTGGAAGGCACAGCACTGGAACTGAGCAAGGGCTGCGCCAGAAACCTTCCCCACTTGTGGAGCTCATTGTAGCTTTGCAGTTTATTTGTCAAGAGCACTTGGTTTGGCTTCACGCCCAACAAATTCCCATTCCTCCCATTGTATGGAATGGAACCAGTGCCAGGAGCTGATGCATTTCCATCGTGCATCCTTGTCTTTGGGGCAGGGCCTGCTCACCACTGAGAGCACATTCAGGGTGGTACTCACAGGAACAACCACCCCAGAACGAACTCGGGCAAAGGGAACGTCCAGGGGATCGGATGTGAAGTTGGAATAAGCTGCATTTCCTTCCTCTCCCCAGAGCCATCCCTTTCTTCAGGAGGAAAGGTAAGCTATGCCAGGAAATGTGAACCCTCATCACTCCTTATTTCTTAGAATGAAGTATCCAGAGACACCAGGAGATTTTTCAGGGCTCTGCCCCAGAAGCCTGTGCAGCCAAACCCCTCACGAGCCCAGCTCCGAGCTGGGTCCTTCAAACCCAGGAGCACTTTGCCCACCTGGCTCTGCCTTTCAAACCTCACCAGCAGCACATTGTTGTTCCAATGACTTCTCCCAAGCACAACTTTCTGGTTTTGGCTCCTCAGCCAAGGCATTTTCACTGAACTCCGTGCCCACAGTGTGGGTGTTCCAGCCTTCAGTAGGATCCTGGAATGCATTTTATGGGGCTCCACTTGAGCACCTCCAACCCAGACAAACAAACGTAAAACACACAGCCACTTCCAAGGGGTTTGCACACCAGGAATGTTCTGCACAGTTTATCCCCTGGTGTTATTCCAGACCCAAGACAAAACATTTGCCTTGAAAAACATTCTTGAAAAGAAAAGAATATTCTTTGTCACTGAGGATCAACCTTTGTCTTTCCTACTGAAGACTGTTCACACGTTAATGAACAGACATTTCTTGCTGTCCCTCTTTTCCAGATCCAAAAATTAGGGTAGAGAGAAGTGAACTGCTCAAGGTCACCCCGCAAAGAGCTGCAGAGGCCCTTCCAACTGTCATGGATTTTATGGAGTTATGGATTTTTCTAAGGCTTATTTAATGAAATATAAGAGAAATATGTTCTAGTAAGTATGTGCAGATCTGAAAAGTTACAGGTGTCTTTCACTCATTTTTATTGAACTACTAATTTTGTTCTTAAAACCATATTGGAAAAACCCTTTAACTTCATATTTGCTTATTTATTTAATTTAATTTCAGTCTTGCATTTATGTTTCTAATATATCCCTCAAAGGATTAAAAATAATATAACCCAGCTATTATTACTTATAGCATTTGCATTTTTAGAGCCAAATATTTGGGTTAACTATACAAAGTAGCTGATATTTTAACAAGAAGCTCTTGGGGTAAAACCAGAGTGCAAAGGGTCAGTTCAGTGTGATTTTAAACCCGCCAGTTAATTAATTATAAGCAGGGGCCTCCAGGGAGTTTTTAAGCAAGGTAATAACTCCTGCAAAGGAAAAAAAATTACAGAAAGCATTGTCATGGCCTTAAATCAATCCCCCACTCACACAGGAGCAAGATGAACGAGGGGCCTTGTTATCTGAGAGTTTAGAGGTGGGGATGCCAAGGAATCCTGATCCTCTCCCCAGCACAGGGACTGGAGCAGGGCTCTCTCCCTGCCAGCTCCTGATCCCACAGCAGAAGTCACCCACCTGGGGCAGCATGCGATTTTCCTCCTCCAGCTGTCTTACTCTGGCCTCCAGCTGCCTAACATAGGACAAGGTTGATTCTAAAAAATCAAAACAGAAAAAAAAGACTCGTATTATCCACAGAGATCTGCTTGTGTTCACTGGTGCCACAGCCTGGGCCACATCCTGACTGCACTCACAGCAGACTGCCCCTCTCCAGTGTCCAGGGAACACCCTGCTCTGCTCCTCTCAGGGCAGCACAAACAATGCTGATGCTGGAATTAATCAGCTCCTCGCTGCTTGTCATTCTGAACTGCTGCACTTGGAGAAAGACAACCCAGCCCTGAGTCCTTCCAACCCACCCCCTGAGCTCTGCGAGCTTGGACTGCACGTTGGCAACGCTGCCCAAGGATAATGCATTATCCCAAGTCACCCTGAAAGCTGTCCTTCCCGAGGGGTCACAGCCAGAGGGCCCCTCACACAGAGCCTGGGGGCACACACAGCCCTGCACGGCAGCTGGGCAGCACACAGGCTGCACCCCAACTCTGCCACGACAGGCTGGCACGGCTGGAGCAGGGCTGGCAGCCAGCTGTGTGTCCCAGGGGCTGGCAGCCAGCTGTGTGTCCCCAGAGCTGTGTGTCCCCAGGGCCCTGGAGCGTGGCTGACAGTCGCCACCCCGGGGCACAGCACGCCCTCCTCAGGGCACACCTGCTGTCCTGCTGTCCCCACACAGGCAGGGACACGCTCCCTCTGCCCTGCTGTGCCCTGGGAGCTCGGACACGGAGCAAAGCCTGGTTCTGTTCACCAGCAGCTCCTGGACCTGCACAGGGCCAGCCTTTGCTTGGCTGTGAACAACAGGAGTCACTCCCAGGCTGCTCCCAAGAACTTGGTGTAAGAAGAGGAGATCCCTGATCCATCCCTGAAAGCACCCGAGAGCTTCACCATCACACATTTCTGGGGTCACTCAGAATTTCTGCTGTTAAAATCCTGTGTCTGAGAGATGCATGTCTGGGAACACAGCACTCAGGGGTAAGAAAAAACATATCTTCTAAAGAAAAAAGGTACTTTCTCAGTGCAGGAAAACTGCTGTGCCTCTCGCTTGTGTGTGGAATCCCACCATGCTCTCACTCCTCACTCAGTGATCCACTCAACTTCCTCGGAGATGTCAGTTCCTGTCACACGTTTGAGCTCATCCTGCCACATAATTAGCACAATTATGATTACTGGTCTGGAATCCATGGGTATCAGGGCAGTAGTGCCAGCTGATACAGCCCTGCAAGGCTGCACTGACACCAGAGCTGCTCACTGTTTTAGACTGGCAGATGAATTCGGGCACAAGTTTCCTGTGCTATCTCATCACTACTCCAGCCTGCCCGGAAAACAAAGGAGATGGGGATTAAGGTGTCACTTATTGCTCTTAGAGACTGCAGCAGGTAAAATATGCATGGGAATTTACACAACACGGAGATAACACACAGTCATTTGTCAGAGCTGATTAATGCCCAGCCTGGCCCTGGATCAAAAATAGCCTGTGCAATTAGAGGGAAGGAGGTGAAGTGAGGTTCTGCTCGCTCTGCTGCATCAGGCCTTTCCTAGCTGGTGATGGGGCATCTCTGGAGAGCCCTGAGCCCGGCTCAGATGAGCACTCGGGAGAGGAACAGCTTATTCAATTAACTGCACACGACAGGGCCCCTCCCAGCACATCAGCGCCTTCCCAGCACAGGCACTCCGGGCAGCAGCTCCCTCTCAGCTCGCTCATTAGCACCGGCAGCAGCTCCCAGCACATCCCCCTCTCCTCCCTGCTGTTTCCCACACGGGATGGTTCCTGAGGACCCATCTTTTCCGAGGGGCTGACCCAGCACTTGGGCTGGCACTGCCAGCTCTAAATTCCTTGGTCACAAGTGCACAGACTTCATGCTCCAGTCCAGTTCCCACTGTGCCCACTCCATGTAAACTCCCTCCTGGATTCTCTTCAACTCTTTACCTTTTCTAGTTTTCTGGTTTCCCGTTTCTCAGCTCCTCAGATGATGCACCTCTTGGCAAAATCTGTCTCTTACTTTTATTTCTGCACTGGGAGCCCAGAGCTGGGCTCTCTTGTTGCTCCAAACCACCCTGCTCTGCCTCAGTCCCCAACCTCCCAGTGCCAGCTCCCACCAGCTGAGCCTTTGGTTAACCCTCTTGATGTGTGAAACAGTTCTTTAAAGCTCCTCCTGTAATCTGATTAAAAGGGGAAATTAGGCCATCTACCAAAGGCTTGAGCAAGCAAATCCTAACTTATGTGAGTCTTCCTGACACATAGACTAGACACATATATATATTTCAGGATCTGTTAATATATTTATGCTGTGATGCCACGAGCTTTAGAGGGGAAAATGAGCAGAGAAGTCAGCCAAGGACATAAGAGACGGAGGAACTGAAAACACACAAAGTGAAACACTGGCACCAAACCTTAAAAAACCCAACCAACCCAAAAAGTTGCATCTAAAAGTATTTATGAGAAGACCTATATGATCCATCTATTCTTAATCAGCCTGGAGACAGAGAGAGAAAGTATTGGAGACACAGAAATATCAAATATCTTGCTTTTAGGGAAATGCAGTGACAATCCCCCTGTCTCCACATCCATCACTCCAACATGTCATAAGGGAACATCAATATTTACGTAGCTGATCTCTGTTCCCTTTGACATCCCCACTCTTGAAGCTTGTAGATATTTTGGGGTTATGTCAGACGTTATCAGACACTTGTGTTGCTGCCAAAGGCACATTTGTGCATTGGCTTTATCCAGTTTTGTGTGACTGAGCCTGATCCCAGCCTACCAAGGAATTCATCATGTCCTTTAAGCCAGATTATCCTCTGCTGTTTCAGAATGCTCGAGGATGTCATGTTACATTCTGATGGTTTAATTTTTTTTTTTTTGAGGGTTGCAACTCCCTGTGGGACTGCACCAAAGAACTTAAACTCTGAGGTTCTCTGCCCACCTGTGAGATCCCTGCAAAGCACCTGGATGAGAACTCCACAGAAAGCAAAAACTCCAGGGTTCAACCTCCCCTTCTGCTTGTTCAGATGAGCTTGATAACGAGCCCGGTGTGAAAGGAGGAAGGGATTTTACCTAATGCCCAGAGGAGTATTTGGGGGAAAGAAAGAGCAGGAGATCCAACACCTGGCCAGAAGCAGCACCAGCCAGTCCTTGCATCCTCAAGGCCAGCAAATGGGAAAACATGATGTCAGGATAATGCAAAATTCACCTGGATTTCATGAACAGCAGCACTTTCTGCTGCCACCAGCTCAGCTCTGTTGGGTGTTCGTGTTCCTGAGGGAGGTCTCCAGGATCTGGAGAGCTGGCACAGCCCAAGGTGCACATTTGAAACACTGAGGCTGTAAAGGAGGGAACTGCCAACGATTCACCTCAGCAAAGAACTGAGGGTGCTGTGTCTGGGGATACTTTGATGTGTGGCAATGAAGGTTTGGTTCAGGTATATCCAGCTCCAGCAGAGAGAGCCATTGGTCATGCTGCTCTTTCTGCGCTGTGTTGGCAGGAATTTAATAATTGTATTATTATTATTATTATTAAATTTAATATAAATTAAATCGGAATTTGGTCATTCAAATCCACACCCAGCACCCCACAATGAAAACCAAATAATCTTTCCATGAATGGCAGATGAAAACCAAGGCTGTGCAAGGGCTGTTTTAAACCCTCCCAGAATTCCCTGACAGCTCCATATGTTCAGGAAAGGCTCTCCATGCTAACTAGCAGATCCAGTGCCACACAAACCATCTCCCTGCCCTGTCATTCCCAGGCAGCTGATTTAATTACTTCAGTATTAGCATCCATGCCCTTCCAGCTGCCTTGTTTGAACACGAACAACCCCAACCTGGCACTGCTGGGTCTGTGTGGACACCCATTGCCACCCCCTGCACCAACCAGCCTTGGCTCTGGCAGCGCCCCAGCTCCCCTGGGCAGGATCAGGCGACCTCCAAAGGTCATTTTTAGCCCTGTCTCCTGTAATTTCCCGTTAGGGTTGCACATCTTACATAACAGCCCTACTGAAGAAGTGCTGGAGAACTCCTTATTAAAGTGCAGCCACATTAGGATTAGTGCTATCATGTAGAAAGAGAGAGGTTTGCCCAAGGCGAGGTTTTATTAAGCTCACCAGAATGTTTAGGAGCTGCTTACGACCAAGACACATATTCTCAGGAAGTTTTGGGGCAGCAAACACCACAGTGGTTGCAATCCTCAACACTGCTGTTGTCTGAAATCCTCCCATCCCAAGCTGAGATTCCTTGGGATTATAGATCCAGCACTTCCTGACTTTAATTAAAAATATAATGAACTAAGCTGAGCTTGTTCAGGGAGTGTGTCAGAACTGAATGCAGGCAAAGGGAAGGCAAAGGGCTTTCACTGCTCCTGAGCTACCCAGGGCACACCTGAGGGCACCCCAGTGCTGCCTGTGACACAGCCTACTACAAACACAGAGTGGAGCCCACTTCAGAACAGCACTGATTTAGGCTGGAGGTTTTGTTGCACGTTTAGCTTTAGGGTGCAACAAAATTTCCAGTTGAATTCATCTGGGAAAAAATAAAAACCTTTTAGCAAAAAGGTTTAAAGAAGTCTCACAGAGTAGAAAGGGTTTGATAGAGGAGCACCTCCAAAGGCTGCTGGTGTCAGCTGAGGTCCCAGTCCTGCAAACAGCTGGCTGGCACTGCCACACCCATGCTCTGCTCTAACACACGCTGGGTTGTTGGGCTGTTGTGCTGCTGGAGGTGACAAAGCTCTCCTTGCTGGGCTGTTTGATGTCCCATTAGCTCCCCTTCAGCCCCTGCTAAATGCATTTGCTGAGGTATTGATGGAAACAGAGAAAATCAAACCCATTATGCTCTTGCTGAAGCCTTTCCCACTGGCTGCCAGCTTGTTCTGGTATTGATTCACGTGGTTTATGATTGGGAAAATCTTTGTGGGCTCCATTTACTCAACTGCTGGGGTTTGTCCCCGTGCCACCACACTGTCCTTTGCTCATTAGGAGTGTCCCCAGGGCAGGAACAGCCCCCTGGACTGGAAACACAGCACAAGGAGAGGGGGGTGTTCTGTGCCCTCCTG